AACTAAATCGATCTCGAGCTCTATCCTCGCACACCTTGTCGATACGAATCATTGAGTCGATATCAATAAGGCCTTTCAGGTTGTCTACCGGATACTATCTAACTTTTCTAAAGGCCTACGCCAGCGGATCCTTGCAACAGCTGAAGCAGTAGCTATAAATCTAGAAAATCCAGTGCTGTTTGTCAGAAGACGCTGACACAAGCTCTTTCACTTCCATGGCCTACACCGACACCAGGTGGCGATAGCATTTCGCCCCTACCAGCTAGCGGCAGTCTTTCAACCAACACACTGAAATGGCCTACATGCGCAAACTGACATAGTCCGCAGGGGCCAATCAGCGCCCATGTTAGACAGTTATTGATTTTTCTACATATTCAAACTTTAATTGTTATGTACAGCGTTCATTTCCCTTGCAAATGTTTGGCCTGATGACGAGTTGCTGAAAACAATTGTTTGTCATGAACTGACTTTTAAGAGCGGATATTGGCCGACAACATTGCCGGTGAAGCCAGGGGAGCCCAGACTAGCCATTTCTGGCTCTAGCAGGCACTCATATCCAACCCCAACTGGGGCCCCACCCAAGGCTTGAACTCGCCCCCTTTTTGATCAGAAGTCTTACGCCCCAACCAGTGAGCAGCGAGCTCTTTGTTTTTTCGATTTAAATCGGGATATCGTGACACTGATTGATCAGCGTTGGGCTCCACATCGACAGACCGCGAATTCGAGGCTCGGGCGGTGCACTATATGGGGTTGGCCATGACTGGCTGACGACGGTTAATGAGTCAGAAATGACCATTCTCCAGTCTCCCCCTTGTCTTTGCCAGTAATACTTGATGCCTACACTAGGAGGCGCTACTGGCGAGGCTCAAGAATAGGCCCCAAGGCACAGACGGACGAGTGAGTTAGCGATCGGTGAACGTTCATCGACGAGAATAGATATTATTATTGCAGTTGGAGCACAAATAATTGTGCTGCCGCGGAGAGTCTCATCTGCATGAAACGCAGTTTTCTTCGAGAACGTGCTAGAGGGTGCATGACACTTTTAGGCGGATGATCGCTGGTTCCATTTGTATAATTATAACATATAATAATACGACCGAATATAATAATACTTGATAATATGCTCAAAATAGATAAAGCCCATTGTCAGTGGTACATCGTTTAGTATGTAAAGTATTGAGACCGAGTGTCCAGCTTGCTGTCATGTGTATGGGTGACGTACTAAAATATTTAACATTTTACACTGTGAACTGACACCTGAAACCCGCGTCAGGTTGCGTCTATTGAGGTTCGTTTTCTCCTCAGGATTGGCATTTTTGCCTCAACTCTTACGTTAAATCAAAAGCAATATATGCCTCATCTTATCATACATATCATTTTTGATTTCTATCTTTAATCTTACAAGTTTTCTGACTTTTCTTCTAATGATTGACACATTCTTACTTTACACATAAAGCAGTAAATTAAGCCTCGCTCAACGCCAACGTGAAAACCTCTATGGAATCTTATCTAAGGTTCTAGCTGTTTATAACAACTACTTGCTTCAGCATATGTTCGAACAAAAAAAGAGTGTTTTTTTCTGACATCAGCGAATTGCATGTTTCGATGCTAGGCTAGAGGCCCGATTAAAAATAATATTGCTTGTGTATTATAGCAAATGTCGCCATAGTGAAGGATGTCTGAAAAATGAAAGTTGAACCTTAGGCGAATAATATATAATGTGAAATGTCATCTATATCAGTACATTTAGGCCTGGATTCCAGCAAAAGTTAAGATTCACCATTAAAAATTCAAATTAAAAATTTGTACGTAAATACGACATGCCCGTTGAGGCGTATTTAGGGTCTTTGGAGTTCTGTGTTCAGCAACTAAATCCTGAAACACAATTTTAAAACCTATTTTTCATCTCAAAATATGTCAGAGCTCTGTTGACCGTTATACTGAAACAACAATATCTACAGAATTGAAAAAACTCTTTGTGACAACCTGTATTTGAGCATGACGAGCAAAATGTAATGGCTTTATGACCCAGGTTACTTATGGCTTCAGCTCAGTGATGCATATTGACAGGTTTCGTACATTAGAGAAGGTTAAAGAAGACGTCCAAACTTGCATCCAAACTGGTTTTTATGGAATTCGGCTCATTCAGTTGGCTGGGTGTTTCCTAAAACTCTCAATACATGCCTAAGTTTCACAGTTCCGCAGTCTCAGCCTACGTGCTATATTCTAATACCGATACCTGTTGCAACTTGCTTTGTCAGATCCATTTAATTATATCATCCTAGTCACTATGTGACGGTCTGGCGGTTTTACGGAACTTAATTGTTCCTCTACTAGATCGAAGAAACACATACATTCAACATATTACAATATTAACCACGTTTGAACAAGTTCGGCAAACGGAATCGCATGCGAGGTCATGCGGACACATTTTTGAGTTGACATTTGTCTTTTCATCATGCACTTCGAAGGCAAGGAATACAAACTATTGCATACCTGAGCAGACAGACTGAGTCGCAGGATCTGGGGGTCAAGGCCGGTCTGCGCGAGGACATCAAATTCCAGCGTCGGAAAGGCCGCATAAACATCGCCTGGAAAGGCTGTATCGGCTTCACCGATGTCCTGACAGATCTTGGCTCCAGCTCGAAAGAGGTCCTTGCCTGACTGGCTGAGGGAGCTTGCAGCTTGCTCAAAATGTGCCAGTAATTCCTTCTTAAAGCGACTGTACACCACTGCTGGAAGCATTATGTTCGGCGTTCCGCTATCCAAAACTGTCAAACCGGAGTTAAGCTGTAGAATAAAAAGAAATGCGGTGATTAATGTGTCTGAATTGCTCGAAATATTTCAAAAAGTTGATTTAGCCGTTTAAATTCATCCGCACAATCGGTAAGTCGGAGTTCCTGTTTATGATGCTTTTGTCGCTGTTTGCCTGGGACTCTTTTTTAACTTGTTATGAGCCTGGTGCCTCGGGTTGAAACTTTTTGACCTTTCCATGCATGGCGTTTCGAACGCTAATGTTTCCCAAACATATCTACTTCAAAAAATTTTTGATTTCAAGTTCAGTGAGATGTTTTAAAAAAATCATACGTTTAAATTGTTTTTTTTTCAGTCGCCATTACAGACAAAAGTGATTGGTATTTAAATTCGCAAGACATTTACAAATTCCTGCTGAACAGTTGTTTCGAGAAATTAAAGGACTGCAGCTCACTCACACAGTAAGCATCTTCTCAACTGTCTTCTTACCTGCTTGACGAGACCGGGTGAAAATGAGGAAGCTGGTTAGCCCATAATTCCATTTGTCGTGTTAATTTTTAACGTAGGATGCATGGCTCATTAGGCAGTTATTGATACAGTTATAGGAAATGCTAAGCTTCTGTGTTAAGTTGCATCTGGAGAAGGTAGCTCCCTATTAGACAAGAGATGTTCTGTAAATTTCCAGATACACAGAGCAAAATACTCCCTAAGTTACTCCGGAAACGGCAAATGGCAGTACGTTTCGGTTCTTTGACCCTTAAGATTATTATTTGCCTGATACAGCTTGGAACGCATACTAGGTGCCGATTTCCTACATGCACGTAGAGGCTGTATAATAGTTTACCATAAACGGGTCTTAGTAAGTATAATCAAAATAAGTATCTTCCCAGGCAATGGCATCTTAATTCTAGCTGCAGTATCCTAGTCCTCGTAATCCAACCTAAGATGACCCAAGGTCAATGAGGGGAGACAGTGAAGTAGTGTCGAATTTCGACGTCCGGACTAACTAACGAAGCTCTTAGCGAGTATTATTCCAAAATAATAGGGACGTAACACGCAAAAGTGTTAAAAGGGATAATATTGAAGGAAGGAGCAAAACCGTAATTATTGTCCCCGAGTCTTATCTCGAAAAAAGAATTAACGACCTGTACTCACGTCTTTCTACGATGTGATTGCGTGCGGCGGCCCTTGGAACCACCCTACGAGGGACCCTTCCGTGTCATCTCGCGTGGGATGAACACATACCGCATCCAGTGTGGTACTCGCGAGGAGGTCGTAAGCGTTAACCGGCTCAAGACTGCTGTCCCGGACACTTCGTCGGACGAGCCCTCTGGTTTTCCGTCCTCTGTTTCCCCTTCTCTTCAACCCTCTATTCCACCGTCCCGCAGTTTACCTCCTTCTTCCTGTCCGCAACCCCAACCTGTTCCTGCCTCCAACTCTAACACTTCTGTTCCTGCCTCAAACTCTGACACTTCTGCCACTGCTCCTACCACCTCCTCTTCCACATCCCCTGTATATATCACCGGGAGTTGGCGACATGTTCATTTCCCTGACCATTTGTCCCCCACATTTTTAGGCCTCAATCCTGCCTTCGGCGTCGATTACCGCCTCCTTCGGTCTTACCGGGGGGTACTGTGGTAGCCTGACTCAGGTTCAGTGTCTATGCGATAGATGCTTACAACATCTACAATCACCTAAAACTAACTGCTCATTTTATTCATCTTCCCTGCACCCATCTGTTTAAAGTATAGTGTGGACTTCATCGAAAACTATGGACGAACCATTAGACATTTTCTGCATAAATAGCTGCAAAATTTTCCGAATTCTTCCTTCATATTGAAACCCTTTTTTCACTAAAATTCGTAAACTCCTTCATTATATTCGTCGTTTGCGTTCCTATCACGCACCTCAAGCCCTAATTCGGAGATGTATGCATGCCTGCATTTGCCTTCGTATCCTTTGTTGTCATAGGTCTTTTTCACTTTTCCTTAAAAAACGTTTGCTGACTTTTACAATTTTCCTCCGAATACTTTTCGTTTAAGCTTCCAGTGTGTCGCATGTCTTTCTAACACAGCGACACCTTACAAAGGTCAAGCAATTCGCTGATCAAAGTCTTGATGATATTATCCATCCTTCCCAATCTGAATACAAAGTCCTACCGTCACGCTTCCGATATAGTCCTTCCCGCACATGGGTGTACTAGCGTTCTATATCGCTATTTATAGCACGCCAGCTGACGTGTAAAGGGACTAAAATGCAGAAACTGAAATTGGAACTGTCTCCATAATAAATTTGCGTCTTATTTTAACCTTCGATTCTTGCGTATTTTGCTAACTTCCGCTCCGTTCTCGGTGAGTACCACCCTTTTTGCTGGATAATTTGGACGGTACTTTCAAAATAAGGCGATTTTCCTCTTTCCTTCTCTTTTCATGGGTGCCTGTGTTGTTTGCGCAGGTAAGGAATCATTAAGCGCATCTTCTGGCACGTTTATTTCACCTCACAACGCGTCCGATAAATTGTAACCACAGGACAGAACTCTGATGACAGTTATGCTCGTACAACCATACCCAGAAACTCGAAAACCTCCTCTTACATAATCTTTTTTATGATCATGACTCGTTCACTAACCGAATCTCCTATTAGTACAATAATTTTTTTGAGTTCACTTTATGCTTCAACTCAAACGACGACTGTCCAAGTAGCCCCAAGTTAATACGGTTGTTTGGCAAATGAAGATGTTTGAACCTCGTAATTTGCTCAGAATTAATGGTACAGTACAAAAACTCTTATCGAAACTTATGACACTGAAAAAAAGCATGCATTAATAATAAAGACCGGTATCGTTGCGTGTGTGAATTCCCGACTCGGAACTAACCTCCTGACAGTTTTCGATCAGAGATCTTCCGTTGATGCTAATGTCTGTTAACACTATCCGGAAGTGAACGGCCTCGACGACGGGCACAGTTTGAAACTGGTATTGGTGATTAGATTCCGCCTCGCCCAACGTCAGTTTACCTGTCACAGTGATGTCTTGGACCAGTAGTTTGGTTGCGCTCTTCTCTTGACCTTGAAGTTGACCTTGAGATCTTGCCACCGCCTATTATGTAGGGGAAAAACATGTGAGAAGCATGGAGACAGCTCCGGTCAAAGTGGCCTAAATTTTGGGAGCCGGTAGTAAGCGACTAAACTAAAATCATACCCTATTATTTTTCTATTTAAATAAATCTTTTAATTAGCGTGCAAATTAAACTGTCAATTTGTTGGCTGCACAACTTCCAATCGAAACATGGAGTGCTCCGGCTTTCTAATTTTGTCAAAATAGTAAACTTAACTGCTGTCTTTCGGGTAGCACTGTCGAAATAGTTGGATGAGAGTTTAAATATGCTAACGGATTTCTGATAACTAAGCTTTAACGTTCGCATACAATCTGTAGATAGATACGACAGTTCGACCGTCGATTTCAATGAGGTCTACCTTGTGCTCCACACCAGGATGATGCAGGGACGGTGACTTACAATGGGTTATAGTGAAAGTAGACTTATGCTGTATCCATCGCACTCTCTGTTCCATTCTTTCACTACGAGTTTCAAAGAATTGAAGTACGCGGGGACGGTAGCCAAAAAGAAAAAAATAGTGAAGGCAAACTGGCCGGGTCTACCCCCAAACTCTGACCACTCCGACATCTAATTCCGATTATCAAGACAGAGTCAAGTAGGCCGGATAAAATAGTGCAGAGGGCGCGACAAACACAGCACGCGTACCAAACAGTACGTCTCGCTAGGCAGGCTCTCGGCAGGGAGCGCCATAAAGGCTACATTACGAAGGAGCCATTTCATCTGACTCTAGCCCCGCAGGCAGCCCCACCACACAAAAATATACACACTGGACCGACTGCGGTGTCTGAGTTAACCCGCCAGCTGGCAACTCTCCAAGCCACGGCTTTTAGCGCACCGCGATAGATTCAAGCGCGTTGGATTAATTATAGTGAGGAATCCTCATTGTAATGAGGAAAGAAGTCTACCGAGGGTCATCCTCACTCTTTCCCCCACCACAGCTACAGTTAACTGCTTAGCTGTCGGCCACCTGAGTTGGGATGGGCGCAACGCCTGCAGCGCTGACCCATTGTAGACCTATTGTCAAGAACACGGATGGAGGAAGGCTCAGTCCCACAAACTCTAAGCCACCACAACTATGAAGACCACAGCAAAGGTTGGAGACGGTTTGGGTTCCAGCTGAGTGAGAGTGTCATAAGGGCCACATTAAGAGGGAACCATTGCAGCCTGACTTTTAGTGTGCCAGTCAACCGCTCAACGCAACATGCACTGGCCCGACCGTATGGTCTGATT